GGGGGGGGCGGTGTTGGCATTTCAGAGTGGAGAAGCACGAGCAAAGAATCACACCTGAGGGAGACTGTTCGGTGCCCCCTTGTAGTCTTCAGAACTATGTGCTCTGCCCCCCAACCCTGTCAGGACCACTCTTTTTCCTTTCAGTGCCTGGCTGATGGCTATCATCTCGGTCAGGAGTAAGCTTCTTGATGCCCCCTACAAAACCCACACTGCTGTCTTCAATCTACTTCCTTGTTGACTTCTCCAAGCTCCTCACGGTCACAGACTATGTTCTGTCACCCTTGCACCCCCAGGGCCCCTAACAGAGTTTCCGGGCACAAAGCAGATCTTCTGTAAATGAAGTTTGTGAAAGAATGCTTACAGAACGTGGCCTAAAAACCGTGTGAGTCAGATTTGATGGCAAAAAAGTATGAGGCAGAGGAATTAATTTTAAACAGTTTCTGACTAAAGTGGATCCAAGCAAGGTCTCTAAAGAGAAAGTTGGACAGAATGCCATTTTAAAGACTAGAATTTCAGAGCTTGTCAGTACTCAGGGCTGGAGGGGATGGAAGACTACGAAGTTGCTGTTTCCATTTCAGCATCCCATGGCAAGCTATTGCCGAGGCTTGGGCTGGAGCCAGTTAGTGACAAGGAGCTTGGTGCTTCCAAAGCATGCGACTCCACCAAAAGGTCGTGACAATTTGAAAGTCATTCCTATGTTGAGCCAACATTTTCCTCTCATGGGCTTTTACCCATTGGTCTCATTCCTCTGAAGCCTCACAGATAGAGACTATTACCTCTGGTCAGGGCATCCAGAAGGACGGGATCACGGTCCCTTATTCAGATTGTCTCCTTCCAATGTAATAATAATATTTTAATAGGTAATGTTTAAGTTAATAGTAAATAATAATAAACTTCCAGGTTCACTCATCATCTTCCACATGTGTCTCATAAATTATTCAGTGCTCTTTTTAACGATTTGTTGAGAAAACAAATCAGTTTTCTGGTGCCCAGCAGAAAGCGGTTCCTTTCTCCTGAAGCCACAGTTTGTAACTAAGCTCAAGACAAACTAGAGACTGCCAGCTATCACTCTGATGTCTATTTCCACAAACATTCACTTATTAGAACCCATCTGATCAAGAAATGCCTTCCGAGCCCCTCATCTTTCTCTCAACCTCACACTACAGGCATCAGAGGTATAATTGCTTCGTCATGGATCTGAACAAGAAAATTTGAGCTTGCTTGGAAAACAGAGGCAGTGTTGGAAACCAGAAATAAAGGACTCTGTAATAACCTGGTTGGTTGATTGATTGATTTTTATGATCTCTAAGATCCCTAATGGGTATGGAACAATGAAAGGACTTTACGGAGAAACCAATCCAGGAAGCAGGTCTTCGGGCATCTAATTGGCCTTCTGAGTGGATCACATACTCACCAATTCTCTATAAAGTGGATCCAAGGTAAACCACAGAGCCACAGCGCACCTCTGGCCCTTCGTGACTGCCTTCACTCCATGCGGATTCTCTCCTCCGGAAGAGAAACTGATCATGCGCCCACACTTTGGTTTGATAGAGGCCTGAGTAGGAAAGTGAAAATTAGACTCTCAGTTCCGTACCATGGGAATTCTACGACCCCTTTCTCTACCCTTCTATGGGATTATTTAGGTCAAGTTTTGCATCAAAGTAATGGAATCCTGGGGTTGAAATAGACATGGATTGGTTCAATTTCCTCATCTGTAAAGCAAAGATGAGTTCAAAATAATATCTAATTGAGTCACAAAATTATTCAGGGAGAATGGCTGGCATAGTCCATGGCACAGAGCAAGTGTTCAATACATGCTATCCAATGGCCAGCAAACTCCATGAAAACAAAGTCTCTTTTATTCCTCCCCACCCCTACCCCCACCCCGCACCCCCGCCTTGAGTGCTAACACAGTATCTGGCAGAACGTAGATGTCTATTTCATATTTGTGGAATTGTGGGATGACAAAAACAAATCAAGGGGACATCTAGAGTGTGGTAGATTTTTATTATTGATCTAGGTAGGCTTTCCACGGGTGCGCTCCTCCTCTGTCCTTAATTGTACATTAATGGTTTGTGAACTTTTCACAATACAAAGATTTTTAAAAGGGAAGTCTAATTTCATATGATGCTTTATTTTTATTTTTATTTTTTTCAAAGTTTATTTATTTTTGGGACAGAGAGAGACAGAGCATGAACGGGGGAGGGGCAGAGAGAGAGGGAGACACAGAATCGGAAACAGGCTCCAGGCTCTGAGCCATCAGCCCAGAGCGCGACGCGGGGCTCGAACTCACGGACCGCGAGATCGTGACCTGGCTGAAGTCGGACGCTTAACCGATTGCGCCACCCAGGCGCCCCTCATATGATGCTTTAATTGCCATTACAATATGCCTGTCCAATGGTCCTCAGCACGTGCTTTAATCCTTCCAGTGATGAGAACACTCTACCCCTTGAGGAGACCTAGTCCATGGCCTCCGGGGCTCTGAAATGACCGACATAGTCCTTCCAAGCTTGTGCGTCACTCAGGTGAAACTGTTCACTAATGTTTAAGTAGAAGAGGGTAGGGAGAAAAGGGACGCTGCTAGGGGAGCCTAAATGTTAGATCAAATGACCAGGCTCTCCAAATCGAGTGAACTTAACCAACAGAATATAAGGGGCCTTGCTTCTGTATTTTAAGAAGTGCCTGATGTCAGTAGAATTCATTTTTCTTTTTTGAGAAACACAGAAACATTACTCATTCCATACTACAGCTTAGAAAAGTAAAGTAGGGGTACCTGGGTGGCTCAGCAGTCAGTTAAGCGCCTGACATTGGCTCAGGTCATGATCTCATGATTCACGAGTTCGAGCCCCCCATCGGCCTCTATGCTGACAGCTCAGAGCCTGGAGCCTGCTTCAGATTCTGTGTCTCCCTCTCTCTCTCTGCCCCTCCTCCACTCTCTCTCTCTCTCTCTCAAAAATAAATTTAAAAAAACATTAAAAAAATTAAAGTAAAAGAAAAAAATGTTACCATTCTACTATTGAATAAGAGGGGCTCATTTTAACTAGTTATTTTCTGAATACATGCCCATTAGAAGAACTTTTGGTTTCCTTCACCTTAAAATGGGAGGCTATATTTTTTCACTGCCAGCTTCAGGAGGAATATTTGCAAAACTTCCTGAATCCCTTGGATACTACCTAACACAGGTACCCCTAGACTATAACCTACATATGAAAAGGTGGAGGGAGGTGTATTAAGGAGTCAGAAAGTCTGAGATGTGTGTGTGTGTGTGTGTGTGTGTGTGTGTGTGTGTGTGTGTTAAAGGGGAGAGCATAGAAAAGCAGTTGCTGGTTACTCTTCTATTCACAGTAATTGAGGAGTGATTTGTTTTTCCTGGAGAGAGTTGATTTCTTAAAATGCATTAAAATTTTTTTTTAATATTTATTTTGAGAGAGGAGAGAGAGAGAGGGAGAGGGAGAAGGCGAGCAGAGGAGGGGCAGAGAGAGAGAGAGATACAGAATCCGAAGCAGGCTCCAGGCTCCAAGCTGTCAGCACAGAGCCCAGCCCGACATCAGGCTCAAAGTCACAAACTGTGAGATCATGATCTGAGCCGAAGTTGGACACTCAACTGACTGAGCCACCCAGTCGCCCCGAGAGAGTTGATTCCTTATGCAGCTTCATCAAGGTGACTTTTCTGAGGTAAATCTAGAGAGTTTGCTAGGTATCGGTGCCCTTGGCATCAACCTGATTTCATTTTTCTGGAGAAAGAATGTGTTTTACATTTCCACACAGAAACAGCAACATAAATGATACTTGGAACATATGAAGTCCAGTGGAAAGCCTTTGTAGACACACTGCTTTGAGATCTAGTTTCCAGTTTTCTGAGTAGCTTATGCCCTGGTGCTGGTAAGGATTCACTCAACCACACGTGGTTGCCAATGCTTCTGTGTGATTATCAAATGTCAGCAGTAACATTTTACAATATTGAAGAAAGTGTGTGGGGACAATTTAATGCTTTCTCCCTGATGGAATTGGATGAATTGAAAGTACTTTTATACATGAAGAACTTGGGAAAGTGTAGGAAAAGAAGCTATCAGCTGCCTGAAGCATTTGGAATTGATTATAGGTGTGTAGGCTCACAGAAGTCTCTACAACTAATTTTCTCAAATGGAGAGCGCCACCTGTTATATATCAGCCACGTAAAGGAATAAATAATTTTCATTTATGACATTACTTCTACAGGAAAATATGTTCAGAAATTTAGATGACTGTAAACATACTTTTGGCACACAGTTTCATATTGAATTTAACTTTTCACGAAGCAAATAGAACTTATTAAATTTCATCTCTTTCAAACTTGCAGAGAAACCCAAATCCCAAAATACTCATGTTTTACAAACATGCTGCTGTTGAAAATAATCCATGTATCTTCCAAGTATGATAAAAGAAAATTCCTTTTGCTTTCCATCTAACTGATGATTAAAAGTCAGAGAAGCCTTTGTGTTGTGCTTGTAGATGTAAATCTTAGCCACTATTCATGCAGTTCCCAGACTTTTCCAAAGTAAAAAACTTAGAAGACTTTTCTTCCTTATAAAGCCCTAAGTTGGGCCATTTCTCTGCTTCAGTTTTCCCTTCAGAGTCAAAGAAACGAAAAGTAACACTATCCATTTCTCTTTATTTGGGCTGATTACCTAAGAATTTTAATTACTCACAAAATGCCTTAAAAACTCCACCATATGTGTTCATCTGAAGTAGAGTTAATCTGTGAAAATGAATCTGTCAACTTGGAGCTTTTGAATCAAAACATTGTTTAAATCGATTTCTCTTCTTTTTTGGGGGGGTAGTGGTGGTTAGATTCAGTACTTTTTAAAATAGTTACAACTTTCTGTTAAAAGTATAGCTACATTAAACAGCAGTATTATCTGCTTTCACATCTTTAAAAGGCAGAATTACAGGGGCGCCTGGGTGGCTCAGTCAGTTGAGTGTCGAACTTCGGCTCAGGTCATGATCTTGCGGTCTGTGAGTTCGATCCCCACGTTGGGCTCTGTGCTGACAGCTCAGAGCCTGGAGCCTGCTTTGGATTCTGTGTCTCCCTCTCTCTCTGCCCCTCCCCTGCTCATGCTCTGTCTCTCTCTCTGTCCAAAGTAAATAAACATTATTATTTTTTTTTTTAAAAAGGGCAGAATTACAGTTAACCTTGCATTCGATAATTAAGGAATGACTGATTCTCACATTGTAGTCCAGGCATCACTTACTTTCAAACATTGAGCATTTCCAAATATGGCCACTAGATGGAGGAGAAGTAAAGAAATCTTTTCAACCACCTGTCTGATGTTCTTTCCAACTGTGTGAGATGCAAGCATTTAAAAATTTGTTTTAGTGTTAGCAGAGCTCAGAAAACAAATGCTTTCTGCACAGAAGCTTTTCAAAAAAAAAAAAAAGATAATTTTGTGTCAGGATTATAAACAACCCGGATCATCAATTTTGATTTAATTTCCCAGATCATGAAGCATTAAAATACTCTGTTGATACTTAAGCTGTTACAAAAAAGTGTGAGTCATGATAGCCTTTTAGATATACATCATTGCATGAAACTGTATGAAATAATTTTTCTTAATTATTCCAATGTTTCTGGACAACCTTAACCACAATTTCCACAGGGTTCCCCCTCATCTGTTTATACCCCAGTAGGTATGCCATGAATGATATATGGATGTTTCACTATGAGTAAAGGGTGCAAAATAGGAAAGGAAAAACATAAAATTCAGAAAAAGTTGTGGAAATAGCTTGAATAATGCAAAATCCTTGAAGTTTGTCAGATACATGCCTCAACTATTTAGATTTTGTATGGAAGAAAGATATCATTTACATAATCCATTTACAATTCAATTATCTCTTCCCTTGGAAAACATGTTTTCCTACCATGGTGTATGTGCTCTGGCTTAAAGTCCAAAGGATGCTGGCTATATGGCCTATTAACTCAGCAGACTGGTTTTCCAGAGGCATTGATTTGCTTAGGAAGACGGTGATGGAAATTAACTGTTGATTTTTACCTATGAAGGCGTATTTAGAATCTCATCCAAAGTGTGTGTGTATGAATGTATATATATATCAATTTTCAGGTATAGGTTTACTTACA